CGGTTGGAGTGAAATAAATAAAAAACTTATCCCCTCCCTTTTTTCTCCCCCCCAGACTATGGGAAGAAAAAAAACGGCAACAACAACCCCCCCCCCCCCCCAAGTTTATAGGAGAACATATGAGATCAGCTTCATTCCCTCTGGGGAAGTGATGTGACAAAATAAGTAAGCGTCCCGTGGCTCTGACTATTTATCAAAATGTATTTAACTGTAATGGCTTGCTATCGGAAGATGCGCTGTTACCCAATGAAAGCAGGCAGGAACGGCAGCAATTGTCATGCTGTTCTGGAACATTAGCAACATAACTCGTGTCATTCTGCCGACATAAAACGGGCATGGCATAATCAGACAATAATCTCACCAGAACGCAAATGTGATTCACATGGACGATTGAGAAATAAGATGGCTAATTGAAAAGGACGGGCAGTGTCATTTCCACCGGAGGCTATGAGCCATGAAATGCACAGAGGAAAGGTAACAAAAAAGATGAAACGAAACAAATACGTTGTATGTAGAGGCATCCGACAGTAAGGTGACTGACAACCAAAGCTGCATGTTAAGAGGCAATCTGGTTGCACGGAGGTGTTTAATTTGGTTCTAGAAAGCCAAACAGTCTCTACTAGAAGCTTGTTCCTCAGTTATCTCAGAAGGACCGTTCGTTTTCATGACCCAGGGCTAGACTGTCTGAGTATTTGTTCTCTTGTCCTTTTCTAAGGCACCTAGTTGTGTGGTATTGCTACATTGATTCATAGCAGTGAATTCCTCTGTCTGGGGTAGCTACGGAGGCACTCACAGAAGCGCATTATTGTACATCTGTCTTTCTAAGACTCCTCCACAGACTGAGCCACCAGAGTCTGCTGTGAAGAATCGTGTAAGTTCTCAGTAACTTATTGGGACAACTGCAACAGGAATAGAAAGCTACTTAAACTCTGGAAAATACACCGAGTGAAAAATGTCCTTTTATATGAGCCCAACTACACCAGATATGCTTGGTATTTTACTTAGTTGTTATGTAAACAGTACAACCCCCTCCCACTTTTTCTTCTGCTATGCAATGGCAAAATGCAATAAAAATGAATGACTGAACAAAATTAAGCAAGATGATTACCTCGGTGGCCATCAGGGTTCACCTAGCCTGCAATATCTGTCATTCCAAATGAAGGCACTATTGATTTTTGGAGGTTTAGAAGCTTGGGATTTTTCTAGTTACTGCAGCATTCTGGTTGTCTCGCATTTTGCATTTTATGCTATGTGTGGGAAATCAATTGACGGTAGGACAAGGATGAATGGACTACTATTGTTTTATGTTTGGAAAAGAGCATAGATAAATGTGGCAAGAAGAATGCAAGAGTGAGTCCCATAGGATAATTTTCCCAGAGCAGATATACAATAACTTCCACCTGTAGATCCAGATCAGACTTTGGATTTGGGGAAAAAAGAAAAGAAAAAGGAAATCCAGAGCAGTTGTGGTATTGTGGCCTTGTGTGGGAATATCCTTGGGTGTGTAAAAAATATCTGAGGATGTTCTGTGGCTATTGAACAATAGTAAAAGAACAGGGCACGTCCATGGGTGGCTTCCTTTAAATGTAATTTCCTCTCCTAAGCCCCTTGTAGCCTTTCGAAGGTAGATTATGTGATCTGATGGCTTGAAATAGCCTTTGGTGCATCAGGCTGCATAATTTACCTTTGCCTTTCATCTCATACATTGTCTTTTGCTTGATCTGGTTTGTAGTTTGTGGGATGTTGTATGTTATTTGTTACTATTGTTGTGTAGTAATTACATCCTAAGTGTACAACAATACACTGCATATATCTGATAATACAGAGGATGCAGGCAACACTCTGTTGACCTGCAAAGTAGTCTCTGGGTTAGAGATTTTAGCTTGCATATAATAGTGTGAGCATCCTTGGGATAAAACTGGGCTTTGTTTGTCCTTGAGGTTTACTGGCAAAAATGTGCCTAAACTGATCGGCACAGATCTTATCATCAGCAGAGTAAAGGCTATTATCTATATTGGAATCAGATGATGGCCATGGCATATGGAAGACTCTGACTTGGAATGTAAGAGAATTAAATTGTAAAGAGCATTTGTTAATGAATGAAATGAATGAAAGAAAACTAGATAAGTTGTGTGTCTTGGAAACCAAGAGCAAAGGAAGGATGTAGTAGATTTGAATGAAAGAGTCTGACTTGTGGAGTGGATGAATACATGCGGTAAATGAAGGTGTAGGATAATCATGAATGAAAGGGCTAAAGTATATGTCAGAATTGGGGTCACCTAGGTTACTGTGGATGTATATGAAAGGAGAAGTTCATAGGTTGGTGCCAATTAGATATTGTCAACTCCCAGTGACTCTGGGCAGTTAACAAAATGTGTTTTCCCCCAGATCACATTCATGCAGAATGTTGCACAATTTTCCCAAAACACATTTCTGGTTCTCACCAGAACCAGAAATGTGTTTTGGGAAAATTGTGC